CTACCAGCCGGCTACTGTGCACCCAAGAAAATTATTATGCAAAATTGTATAAGGCTAAGTAATGAGATCGTGGTTGGAGGGAGAGTCTAAGAGGGATGGGGTGGGACAAAGAAACTCACAGCACCAACGCCACTGAGGTCGGCTCCTAGCCATTTAAGCAAGTGTGTCCAACCAAACGTGTTCATCGCCTTTCGGACCCCAACCAGGGAGCCGAGACGCTCCAACTGAGGCCAGCTCAGTAGTGAGGGCCTTCATTCCTCTGGACCGTCATCGCAGGGCCACCCCTCCTCTTCTTCCATCCACATCCCTGGCGCGCAAACAACATACGTCGCGGAAGTCGGTGGGCTGGCATGCGTAACACGTGGCCGAGCCATCGGAGACTGATGCGTGAAATAACGGTGCTGAGCGGTTCATTTCCTTTTCCTGTGCCATAAACAAGGCGCCGAACACGCTCGTTGCTCACGCGGTGTTCCCGCCAAATGTGGGCTAAATTACGAAGGCACTGGTGGTCGAACGTAACTAGCCTCTTCAGGTCCACTGCTTTAAGCGGCCAGGTTTCACAACCGTACAATAGGGTCGAACGTACTGCTGCATTGTACACTCTACCCTTCAGGGTGAGAGTGATGTCGCGCCGGCGCCATAAGTGGCGAAGGTTAGCAAAAGCGCCCCAAGCTTTTGCTATACGATTCGTGATTTCATCTTCAATCCCACGGGCGCTGATACAACTTCCCAGGTAGTTAAATTTTTGAACGACTTCTAGCTGATCCCCACCAAGGGTCAGCGTAGGAGGCGGTCCAGCCCAATCTTGGAGAAACGCTTTGCACTTCGAGGGTGCGAAGCAAAGCCCGAAGTGACGGACAGCTAGTGCTAATGTGTCCAGTGCCGCTTGGCACGTTTGTGAGCTCACAAACAACCTTGCTTGGTTCAACTATTGACGGTGATCTCGATTCGCAGTGGACGCATATCAAAGATGCTTTAGTTTCCGCCAGTATCGACACTTGTGGAGTTACCAGTCACCCACCGAAGCATTGGATTTCCGCCGACTCCTTGTCGCTGATGGACAGACGTCGCTTGCTCCCATCGGATTCCAGACACATTGAAGAACGCCATTACCTTGGTCGAGAATTGCGCAGGAGTCTGCAAATGGACCGCGAAGCTTGGTGGTGTGAACGTGCTAGGGAGATGGAGCTTGCTAGTCTTTCTGGTAATACCAGCAAACTTTTCCATCTCATTCGAGTCACCTAAGGTGTTCAACCTGGTATAAGTGAAACAATATACGATGAGAATGGCCCCTTAATCACCAATCTTCAACGACGGTTGGAGCGATGGGCCGAACATTTTGGCTCGCAGTTTTCTTGGCCCCCAGCTCCATCTGCTACCTCTGGCGCTCGCGCTGGTGCCGAGCGGTCTGCTTCCACAGATCCTCCCTATTACCAGGAACTCGAGCAGGAGCTCCGGCACGTGAAGCGTTATAAAGCCCTCGGCCCTGATGGTCTTCCTCCAGCTCTACTCAAAGATGGTGGCGCTTCGCTGGTTCGAGAACTCACCGCTTTGTTCTCGAAAATTTAATCGGAAGAGAAAGTTCCATCATCTAAGAGTGAATCGAAAGTCGGTCCCATCTTCAAAAAGGGCCTGCGCACAATATGCCCCAACTGCAGAGGCATAAGTTTAGTCCCCATTGTTTGCAAGATGCTGGTGTCCATCATACTTCGTAGGCTATCCCCAACGCGCGAATCGTTGCAACGAGAAGAACAAGCTGGGTTTCATCCTGGTCGCGACTGCATCGATCAAATCTTCACACTCCGCCAGATACTCGAGCCCCGCCATGTGTAGCTGTGGCTAACGATTGCTGTGTTCCTGGATATCCGTACAGCCTTCGATTCTGTCGATCGTACGTGGCACTGCCTATTGAGGAATGGTGTCTCCGAGCAGTTCGTCTCCATACTGCGTGCTCTATATAGTCTGACTTCGGGCAGGGTTAGGGCTTATGGTAAGCTTTCGCCTACCTTTGTGGTCTCCACTGGAGTTCGACAAGGATGCCCTATCTCTCCGTTCCTATTCAACTTTGCCGTTGGGGATGTCCTGAAGAACGCTCTGGGTAATTCGTTGAACGCTGGCGTTGAGCTCCTGCCATGTAGTCGAGTTGTTGATTTGGATTATGCTGATGATATCGTCTTGCTGGGTGACGATCCACAGGTCGTCCAACTTGGCGACTGAAGCATCAAAGTATGGTATGTGCTTTTCGCCACCAAAATGCAAGGCTCTCTTCCAAGACTGGCAGGTGGCTCTGCCTGCACTCACTCTTGGTTGTGAGACACTAGAGGTTGTGGAGAGCTTTGTCTACTTGGGAAATTGCATCATTGCTAGCGGGGTTGTTGGAGACGAGATTTCGATGCGCATCTCGAGAGCACGCCTGGCTTTTTCTAGGCTGAGGCACTTGTGGCGTCGCCACGACATTCGTCTCCATCAAAGGGCGGGTCTATTGTGCAATCGTTCGTGCTGTACTGTTGTACGAATGCGTGACCTGGCCCATTCGTAAAGATGACTTGCGAAGGCTATCCTTCGTCGAGCATCGCTGTTTGCGGTCCGTTGCCAATGTGTGGTGGCAGCACCATATAAGCAATGTGGAAGTTAGACAACGTGTATTGGGACGTGGAAGCCACTTTCTCGAAGAGCTCGTCTCACTGCATCAACTGCGGTGGTTGGGACACGTATTGCGCATGCCTGTCCAGCGTTACCCCAGTCGTGCGTTGTTTGCGGTTGCTGGACAGGGCTGGAAGAGACGGTCTGGTGGACAGGCTACAACATGGAGAAGCAGCATGAAAAAGCTGACGAAACAGTTGGCCTCGGCCGGTTGTTGTCGACTACCTGGTTAGGGTCCGAGAGATGCGGATACTTGCTGGTTGAACACCTTGGAAGCCATGGCGCAAGATTGATGTCAATGGCGGAGGTGTGCATCGATGTGTTGCGGTGTCCCTTTTTCCTCCCCCCCTCCAAAAAGAACAAACTGAAAAAACTAAAAACTGTGAGTGCTAAACTAGACAAAAAAAGCTTCTGTTGTTGTTGCTCTTTTCTTATTATTCATACTGTTCTCCTATTCAGCCATGATTCCGATGGCACAATATCTGTACCACAGATTGTGTTATATATATATATATATATATATATATATATATATATATATATATATATATATAAAGGACAGATTAGCAGTGGCTGTCAATCGCTTCGGGTTTTGATTTGCACTATCGAAGTGAAAGCTTTCCTCCAAGATTGACAGGGATCGCCTCCTACGCTGGACCATTGGTAGGGATCAGCTAGTCGTTCAGGAATTCAACTATCTGGGAAGTTGCATCAACGACCGTGGGATCGGAGATGAGATCACGCACCGGATAGCAAAAGCTCGAAGTGCTTTTGCTAAGTTTCGCCACTTATGGCGCCGGCGCGACATCACTCTCGCCCGGAAAGGTGGAGTGTACAAGGCAGCGATACATTTGACCCTACTATACGGTTGCGAAACGTGGCCCGTTAGATCGGCGGACATAAAGAGGCTAGTTACTTTCAAACACCGGTGCCTTCGCAGTTTAGCTCACATCTGGTGGGGACGCCACGTGATCAACGGCCGTGTTCGGCGTCTTGTTTACGACACAGGGAAAGGAAATAAACCACTCAGCACGTCAGTTCACGCACCATGCACCGGCAGCTCGAGCACGTGTTACGCATGCCAGCCCACGGGCTCCCGCGACGTGCGAAGTTTGCTCGCTGGGGGTGTGAATGGAAGAAGACGGGGTGGTCAAGCGATGACTTGGTCGAGCGGAATGAAATCCCTTACTTCAAAGTTAGCCTCGGTTGGCGAATTTCGCCTTTACGGTTGGGATCGAAGGACCATGAGCACGTTTTAGCCTGACTTGTTGACATGGTTAGGATCCGACCTTAATGGCGTTTGTGCTGTGAGTGTCTTTGTTGCTTCCCATCCAGCATAGCCTGCGTCTCCAATCGTGATAACATTTCTCAGCATGATAAAAATCTTGCTTAATAAATTTTTAATGCATAGTAGCCAGCTCGTAGCTTTCCAGAATCATGCCCATCTGTTACTAGTAGTAGCTCAGCTACAGTGCACCTGTTGTATGTGTTTTCCTTTCTTTTCTTATATAATGCAGTACGATAGCTGAGGTGTTTTCCACCTCTAGCTTTGGTGTATAATAATAATACTAATAGTAATAACCATATACAAGCAAGCGCTCCTCTTCTCTCAGGTGGAATCCCTAGAATCCTGCTGAGGAACGCGAAAATATCAGCTTATTGTATACTATCGTTTTTAATGTGCTTTGCCAATGCTCCTTACCTCTTTAGGAATACCTAGCTGTTTTCATTCTGGGGCTTAGTTTGAAAACCGACTGTGACCACACAATGGGCTATGGACGTTAGGATTACTCTCAGTTACCAACCGCCTTTAAACTGACAAGTTTCAAATTGTGTTAGTGGGTAAAAGAAGCCAGTTGCTAATTTGTCCCATGACTTCGGCTGGTTGGAGGTACAAGGAAACGTGTTCTGGCCTGTGTGCCGATTTGCTGAAGCTGTTCGGATGCTCTGAGTAGCTTGTCGCCACTCGAAATTCGTGGTACCGTCTCCCGACAGTTTGCGACATACATTAATCACTCCGCTGTCTTGCGAATCAGATCTTGAAGATCAGAGGCGCCAAGTGGGACCTCTTAAGTCAAGTTTCCTCTTCGGTTTGGGTAACCGGGCAGCTCAATGTCTATACAACACCTGAACCTAAGTAACCCTTTCCCTGACTGTCTCTTCTCCCCTTTTTTGTTACCCATGTGTCGTGGTACTGTGCCAATTCTTTGGATGTGATTTCGGGAGTAGAGTTTGTCAGATGGATTAAATGATTTTACTTTTCTACAGCCAGCAGCTAAAGTTACAGCTGCAGTAGACAAACGCTAGATCCGCACATCATGACAGTAAGCGGAAGCATTAATGAACTCCAACTGTGATCAACTCACTGTGTAAGCATGGTGTTCGAGTAGGAAGTTTGCAGCTTGGAGGTAAGCTGTGTCCTGGGTCACAGTAACGGACTGAATGGTATCGTTAGGGGCCGGATCCTTGGCTGAAAATTATTGAGGAGTGCATGCATTCAAACATTCATGGGGTACATTGAGTTAGCGCAAATACAGCACTGTTTTTGCACCGAAGTACAGTGCAGTCAGTGTATAGTTCGACAAAAACAGAAGAAATTATCCAGTGGTGTGAAGCACACGCGAGGTCTAATGTGTAGTTAGAGCCCGCTAATACGCACAATTTTCGTACTTGGAGGTACAAGGTGGGCACTCAAAAGTGGACTGAATCTGGACAAGAATGTATCAAAGAATCCACACCCAGCTCTGTCAAGCGGAGGTCTTGCCAACACAGTACAACCACATTTGGGACCGCTGTGAAGGTCACGGTAATGGTACTGACTGATTGCTCTAATCGTCAAGGTCACTTTATCACCTGGCCATTACCGTGACAAGTCCAAATGACTTCCTCATGCAATCCGATCGTAGGGTGGGGCCAAGCTGGATATAAGCAACAAAAGTGGACTAACACTTGGGAATACAATGCTTACCAGCTCAATCGATCATCTGTCATAACACGAATGGTTGGAGATTCGGTGAATCTCGGATGGGTTCACCACAGTTCGACTCAGCACGACAGCCATGACTGTCTGAGAAGCACCGGACAGCAGTTGTATCCTCTCGGGATCCATTAGCAGTACACTTTGGGCACGAATACTACAGGATGGTGGTGGTGGTGGTGGTGGTGGTGATGGTGGTGGTGGTGGTGGTGGTGGTGGTGATGGTGGTGGTGATGGTGGTGGTGGCTTTGGTGGCTTTGGTGGCTGTGGCACCAAGCCCAGCTTTGTCTAAACTAGTTGTATATCTTCTGGTACGCAGAACAAGCCAGTAAGTAAAAGCATTGCTCATTATGTTTCCTAACCCGCAACATATAGGCTTATGAATGTTTCAGTGAACCAGTACCATCCGCCTCTGTACCAAGGTAGCAGGTTTCCCACATGCAAGATGGGGTAAGCGATCTTATCGTAAGCTTGGCTCTTCTTCAAAAGAAACAACCAGTTCGGGACTCCGACACACACAAGAAGTGGTGTAATAACCGACTAAAGCTATTCGGATATCGTTAGCATTAAACCAAGCCAGTGATTCGCAAACCGCTACGAAAGCCATTTAAGCGTTTCAGTTTTATCAGCAAGCATAGGCTCAGTGAGGAGTTACAGTTCATGCAATTGGATGGTCTATCCCATCAACTGAACACGGTATTGCACATGTTGAACGTGGACTGCACTGTAGCCTAGTCACTTCATTAGTCATGTTGACAAGCGGCGCTTGCCGCTACCAACCGCCCTAGCTTTGCACCTGTGACAAGTGGGTCACCGTTTCAAGACCATTACTGAGCCTCAAAAGCATGCCCTGCTGACGAGTTGCCTACGAGTTGAAAAAGCAGGCGCCATGTGTTTGCATGTCGCAAGTCCAGTTGCACTAAATTTCACTTGCTAACTTTTAATCTCCAACCACTTGCACATGAAACTCTACCAAAACTCAACACCATGCCAGAGATTGGTTGAAGGCTTACATTTGCATAGACGTTGCATTGCTGTCTGCATAGTAGCAGTACTATAACGTCTGAGTGCTAACGCAACCCACTCCGAAAGGCAAGCAGGCAAACACCACGCTGGGATGAGGTCTTGAAAACGTGGCATACATGAGCAAACGGAATGCAAAAAGATCAATACCTCAAACAGCCAACCACGTAAAAGGAGAGATTAAGGAATGGTACACGGTCTAACTGTAAACGACAAACATGCGTGAATCTGTCGAACAGAATCAAGTGACAGGACATAGCTAAGGATGTCAAGCCGTCCAACCGTGAATGACTATTGTGCGCGAGTCCCCCAAACAAACAACCAGCAGGTCCCTCTATAGTGTGAACTAAAGTGTAGCACAATTCGTTATTAGGAACACGTCCGTACAAGGTGGTGCAATCCGAAGCCAGGTGAGGCAGACAGTAGTATTTCGCTTCAACCAGCTTCCGCATCTACAAGAATTCCCTTTATCCTCCGCAGCCTAGGTAAGCCGAAACATTCACTTTTCCAAAACGTTCCGGTTTCGTTCTCACTGTGCCAGTTCCCTTACTTTCACAATATATTCGAGGTCAAACGTATGCAGCTTGCACTATGCAAAAACCACATACGCTACCAACCACGGTATAGAAGTAAGGTTTGGCAAAGCTGTGTTCGCTTTTGTCTGACCAGTAAAGACGCCTGCAGCAAACCCTAGTTTTCTATCTATCTCTCTCGCTCTCAAGCTTGCCTAGAGAAGTCTTGAGTCTGCGTGTAAACTACTCAATCGATTCGGCTCGGAAAGCTGGAGGCGAAAGCTGATTGCCAACGCGCGCGTGTTCGCCGCAAATCGTGCTTGGGACAGACCCTGCGAGCGTGTTGCCGCGGCCAAACCGAAAGCTGATGAAATAGCGCATCAGACAGCATGCATGTTGCCAAGGTCTGGCCGGAAGCTGTTGAAGTCCCGCGTCAGAAATCAGGTGTGTTGCCGTGCCCCGGGTAGGCGCATGAAGACTGGCGTACCCGAGCAAGACGGTGAACTGTAAAGACGGAGTAGACAATCAAGTGTGGAGCGTGCGCTTACAGCCAAATCCGCCGGGCGATGTTTAAAGGATTGATGAGACCGACATATAAATATGAGCGTGCTTGGTCCTAATACAACTCTAATCGGCTGAGTTTTCTTCTATCTTCCTTCCTGTCGGGCTTGCCAAGGCGTCATATGTAGCAGGCGTAAGGGCGCAGTTTTACCAGCAGGCGTGAAGCAACCGGTCGATTGCGGGTACGACGTTATAACAGGTTCTTGTATAAAAAAACATTTGGTGACGAGCTTTCACAGGTCGTACGTATCGAATTCCTTTATAACTTCCTTGTGTGTGTAAGCATTTCGCATGTCTTCTGGTTGGTTCGACTTATAGAGCGGTAACATCCAGGTCGTGTTAGCAACAAGCATGTTGCCGCCTGGAAACTGTCTTACCCATGGAGCTTATGCCTCATATTATGACACCCATTTTACTGCCCTAAGCCCCGCTTCGGTTTCAGGGAATGCAGCTTCAGTTGAGATCAGAAGACTGATGAAATGGCCCTTTCGTGCTTTTGGAACTCTTAGTTACTCTCTGATTTGGTTCATTTGTGATGAGCCTCAGGTAACCTACCTAAAACACTAGCTACCTTATATCCGACGGCGGAACGAAACCGGTCGTGTGATGCAGTGTTGGGAGCCAGCAACTCTCCAGTCTGGATCTGATCCTCGCAGCAGGAATGGTCGACCTGGCCTAAGGTATAATCTTATTCCCTGTGTATACGCATGTATCAGCTCCGTGTGACGGTAGGTGGTAGCGATGCTGTCATTAAGGCGTGTTAACTACAATGTAACTCCTCGTCTATAACTGACTACAAGATGGAATGGGGTATCTCCTCGTAGGTTCGAATCCCAACTCCGTCACTACTAAAACGTGCTATAGCTAAGGAAGGAACGCAAGCTACCGAGACCCGTAATCTTAGCAAACAAAACAGACCTAGACAACAGGGGGTTTATTGAGTAATTGCGGACGAAACAAGACTCACGTCAACTCGCGTTGCGAGACCGGAGGCATGTAGACGACGACTGGCTGGCCGACGTGAACGGACCGAAGTCTTTCGCGCAGGTGACACTGTGCGTCTCCAACGGGAATCATTATTCCACTGAAGAGTGAATTAGTCCCACTCTACCAGATCAGTAACGGACTTGACAATACGACTGCTCACCGACTCGGTGAATGACCTGAGCCGACCGCTAAGGTCGTCTGCTGGCTACTTCAGGCGGCTGCGTTGCACACGCGATGTGCCTGTGTCAGTGACACGTAGTTTTGTGAGATTCATCCAACGGCTATAGCTGCCCAGTGATCAAACGTGATTGTCGCACGTTAACAAGTGAATTCACCACAGATTATTAGGCCTGCATATATTAAAACTACAGCTCTCTTGCATACATGTGGTGCCTTCAATTAAACGAAGCATAACGTCATCCGTTAATACAGGAAAAGGCTTGTCATGAGTACACTGTATAATTTTGAAGATAATTTTTAACGTCGAGGAGACTACAGCTTTAAGAAAATCTTCATTATCGTCATACGCCTGTTAGAAAAATGGGTCCAAACCATTATGTCAGGATATCATGCCGCTTACACATTGCTGTTCGCGGTTTGCACACCGCTTAGTTTATCGGTTTTACTAGATGCTCTCATGGTTCCATTGTTTCGTTTCTAATTTCTCTAGGAAGCAAGCACATTTCACATCTTGTAAGAGTGAGCGTACTTTGTGTTCGCTTTTAGTAATTTTTGTTGCATCCGATTTCTCGGACGTCAGGCTAACGAGGACTGAGGTTTGCGTCATTAGTACATGAGTGAGAGGAATGACTCTGGGCTAGTCCGAAAGGAGGTTCCAGCAAACAGTGACATCATATGCATCCAAGTTAGAATCAAAGTGTTTGACACAGGGTATGAGATGCGTTAGTAAACCAGCCCCGAATGAGGTCCTTACCACAAATGAGGAGAAAAATGGACGAAAACCGGGTTGTGGTTACTAAAGAATGCTTGCACACAAAAGAGCACAAATCGTAGGTGAACCGGATACCTGGAATAGCTTTGGCTACGGAGATTTTGCGGCCCGTACATTCGTCTGTGCTGGGTACTTCGTTCACTGGTGGCTCAGACACTGCATTTTCTTCAGGTTGGTTGGTTTTCTCCGTTTCACTGATTCGAGAAGCCTTAGAAAATGCCATTTGAGCTCCAACATCATTGGATATTGTTTCATAAAATACACCTGGTGAAGAGGGTAACAAAACTAAAATTTCATACATACTGAAATTAACAGCATGTTACTAATAGTTCGTGATACTTAACTTAGTGATAAGAATTGTCAATTGCAACGATAATGGTCTTTGAATACTATTTCATTTTTTATGAGAAGCTTAACCATATCCGGATAGTTGGTTAACTAGATTTTTAAACTGGGTTTATAAATGAACATGCCCAGAACACGGTTAGGAGTGGCAGCATTTTAGACCGAATATCAGCGGTTCCGAATTCAACTGAATTTATTGCACGCTAGATAGGTTGTGAACATATCTTTCAGGTTGTGCTAAAAACGACTGCTACGTCGTGCCGAGACGCTACACAAAAAAGACTTATAAAAAACCTATTAAGAACGGCTGATGCCACTGCAATCAGAATAATACGGCCTGAAACATGCAAGCCGAAGACGATAGTGCAAGCGATTCTGTTGGCGCGGCCTTGATATTGTTGGGGGCACTGTTCATCTCGTTGACAGGCGGTGACTACGTTTACTCTCTCTACCCCATCGGATGGACGAACCGCCGTGGTTTATATATATATATATATATATATATATATATATATATATATATATATATATATATATATATATTGTGTCAGAGAACAACAACCAACGAAATAATTTTATAGTAAAGATAAGAATGTTACAAATACACTTTCGCGTTTCACATGCAGCAAAAGTATCGATAACAATATCAAAATTCAGTCTATCGGCCAGTTCTCTCTCTATGGAGAGAACTACCAAATCCATCAGTCTTGCCTGGCGCATTGCTGGTCGAAGATAGTTGTTTATAAGCTTGCGTTTAGAGAAAGAACGCTTGCAGCTGACAATGCTAACATCACGGGTAAGAAAGATGCGCATCAAGATCCCAATATTCGGTGCAGATTCCCCAAGGTCATGAAGCTCAAAAGTTCAAACGGTAAATTGATTTTGTGGTTTTCTAAAAATTTCACGATATACAGCAATCTTTTCTGTTCGGCATGAACTCCTCTTTCTCTTTAACCTCTTCAACTTCGTTAAGTGACCAGTAATATTTCCCATCAAGCAGATTCCGCGGTGTCAAGAAAGCATTTTTGCTAACAAGTTCATGAATTTGCCGAAATCTACAACAGATTTCTGCATTCAACCTGCCAATGACAGAGTGCATTTCATGTCTGAATTCGACATCAAGTCCCATTGATGGGTCAAACGATTCTTCTCCATCTAGTCCATTTCTCTTATAAATGCGACGCTTCATGCTTATCCTTAATTCAGAGCACAGTGTTCTAGATATATTCATTGCACTGTCCATCATCTTCCTGTTCTGAGAAGGCAATTTCTTAATGTTGTGAGTTTAACAGAACTTAACTGTAGATGCAGCCCATTTGTTTGAAGATAATGCTATGCGCCATCGATTTCCGGGAGAACAGAACTCCAAAGGCTGGGAAGCGAAGTAAACGGAAATGATTGTACCGGGATGAGAATTAAAGAGGCATCTGAGCTTGTAGCCAAATGTTTCTTTTCTCGCTCTACTGTTCCGTGTACTTCTTCACCACAAAGTTTGCGGCGTCTGCTCAGTGATCGCAGTGACTAAGGTTCATTTCAATGTGAATCACTGTCCATTACATTTAGGTTGTGCTTCGCAATCCAATCACACAACGTGTAGTCCAAACTTGACCCTCCAATTAATCAAGTTGTGTTTTGGGTTGTCAGATGGTTGATGCTAGGAGAGTTCAGTTGCATTTCTTGTCAGCCTTCAATTGTAAGTGAAGAATTTGGGCGTACTTGATTATGCACGGTAAAGGTAATGTTGGAAAGGCAGAATAAAAACAGATAAGTAACCAAAGAAATAAGCGCCTATGCACTATATTCCGGACTTTTTCGGTGGATCATAGTCTTGCAGATGACAAAGACAGGATGATTAGGAAAGTGTGCAATAGTTATTCGATCCTTGGTGCAGAGATATAGAGGAAATGCACCACAAGGAAGAGCGAGGCTATGGTCTAAGGAATAAGTTAGTGGGAACTAGCGGTAAGACAGTAGGACGGTGTTAAGTATGCCCTTAGCCGATGAACGGAACAGAATGCGCACGCGTAGTATGGAACCGATTTACTAAATACATCCTGCGTTACAGTGGCTAGGAAAATCCGGAAAGAAAAATCACTGAAATAAGGAAAGTAAGGCAAGGGCATTCTCAAACAACCATGTGATAGTCTGTGCTTGCGAATCGATACTCAAGTGCATACGTGACACCCCTCTCTTATCTGTTCAAGATTGCAGACTCCGGGTTGATTCCGATCAATTGACTTAGGCGTGCGTTTTGAGCGTCTTAATTCTGGTGGTACAGCCTCCGGTTGTGGTTCCTGGTTTTGTAACGCAGATTCGCCGTCCGTTATTTAGTCATTAGCAGTCGCTTTTTGATCCATCTCCGGTAGTTCGTTCGAGCGTGGCCGGATATGGTCAAAATGGCGACACATCACACGGTCTTCCTCCAGTTGTAGCTTGGCTTGGTTACTCGTTGAGGACATGAGTGCAGCAGGTTGCCAGCTTGTTTCGTGAGGCAGTCTTGTGTAGACCGGATCAAAAACATTAAGACACATTTCCTCTGGCATCTCTTCATCCAAACATCTTTTCTCCTGCTTTTCCTCCATTCTCCTTTGTATGTTCGGAAAAAGCAGTTGCAGTTTCAAAGTTGGACTTGCAGAATCCGCTGTGTGGCTGGGTCCAGTCTCGTTCGTATTGGCCGACAAAAGATTAATTCCGCAGGTGACTTGCCTGTCGAATCAGTCGGTGTCGTGTTGTAAGAGAAAAGGAGACGATCCAACTTAGTTTGTAGAGTTTCATGAGTCTGCTTGAGGAGACCTTGCTTAACAGACTGGACTGCACGTTCTGCCATTCCATTTGACGCGGGATGGTACGGAGTAGTCATACTGCGTTTTATTCCGTTGTTACTCAGATACTGTTGAAAATCTACACCAGTAAATAGGGTTAAGTTGTCGGTGCATACCGTCTCTGGGAAACCGATAAAGGGGAATGGAGCACATTTTGCAACCGTTGCTGCGGAAGTCGCATGGGGTACTGGCTGTACTTCTATCCATTTAGATTTCGTACGAATCAAAAGTAGCCACATCAACCCACTGATTGGGCCAAATTAGTTCGTGTGTCCCCGCTGTCATGGCCTCTCCGGCCAACGCCATGGACGTAATGGCCCGGGGGATTTCTGCCATTGGTATTTCTGACATTGTTCACAGTTTTTCAACAGCCGCTCTATATCCTGGTTAATGTGCGGCCATCAACAGTCACCACGTGCCAGCGCCTTCATCCTGTTCACGCCAGGGTGCGCGTCATGCAGCTCTCTCATCAACTGCAGCCGTAGTTCTTCTGGTGGAACTATGAGCGAGTTTCGACCTATGCAGCCGTCGTATAGGCTCAACTCATTACTCCGACAGGCGAATGGTTTCAGTTCGTCTGACGTGCTTATAGATCATGCAGTCCTCAAGAACCGTTTCACCATCGACAACACTGGGTCCCGGTCCGTCAGGCGCCGCACCACGTCACTCCGGATGGGTGTCTTTTCAATATGTTGCATCAAATTGATCAACTGTATGGGTTCACTATTCGTTTTTGTGCTATGCTGCTGCAGGAGGCGACTAAGTGCATCGGCACTGGTATTACTTGGTCCGTTTACATAATGAGGTTTGCAGTTACAGGCGCTCAAAAGTAGTGCCCACTTTTACAATCGAGGCGAAGACATCTTTTGGATTCTTTTCTTCCCACCCAGAAGCGAAAGAAGTGGTTTATGGTTGGTGTGGATAGCAAACTGTCTTCACTAGACCTATTGGTGGAAATGCTTGACTCCGAAAATAATCGCTATGACATCTCTGTCCAGTTGGGAGCAATTCCTTTCCGTGGGTTGCAGAGTGCGAGAAGCAAGAGCGATTAGACGAAGAGAACCGTCATCTGTCCTGTGGAAAAGCACTACGCCTACTCCGCGTGGAGAAGAATCACACTGCAGCACTAACGGCCTGCTCGGATCGAAATGCACGAGATACGGGGAGATGCTGAGCACCCCTGTTGCATTTGGGAGAGCATTTCTTTGATCCGGAATCCAAGTCCAGGACTTTTCCTTGTGCAACAATTCGTACATGGGTGCAAATACAATTGTAGCGTTAGGTAAGAAGAGACGATAGTGAGAGAACATCCCTAAAAGCGATCGGAGTTCAGCTTCATTCATCCATTCTACGCGTTAGCTTGAGGTATAAAGCACCTCAGCAACTTTGCTGCAATACATAAAAGAAAAATAGAAAATAAATTCAACAGTTGCACGCCAGCTGATCTACCAGCAACAGATGGGCATCGTTCCGGAATGCTACCAGCGGTCTAGTATGCAGCAAAAATTTTGCTATGCACAAATATGGCATCTACAAACTGTTCATTGATAAACAATCAAAGACAGATTAGAATAATAGCAATGGAGAAAATAGTAGTATACGCTAAGTAACCCATTTTTACTTAAATAAAACAACAAAAGCGTAAGTGCGCAACGATTATAAATGCAAAATATCCAAACCAGAAGGAATTGCGTTCACACACAACTCCTCGTCAACAGTGGTCAAGTTTATGCAAATAGCCAACCAATATGGCTACAACTGTCCGGTGGACACGTTAACATGGCATCTATACGCAACGTGTTATAAGACAAATCAAGCGAATGAAAACTGCTCCAAATTATGCGACTTGCGGGGGTGTTTATCGCACAACCAGAGTTCACACTATCGTGTTCCAAACCTGTGAAGTCATCGAGACAGTCAGTGGTGTCAGTGTAATAAACGTGAGCTCTACTCACACAAACGTCCAAAAGGATTGTCGGATGGAACACTGTAACCGAAGAGGACACCGACGAAGCCATTGGACTTTGTACTCGTGCGTGGCGGACGGATCGAATTACAGTGGATCTACGGCGAAATGGCTACAATAACAATTTCAGCGCCAGCCGCATGTTAGCATGTGCCATGACTGAATAAG